GCGGCCCTAAGAGTGCTATATTACCATCTACGGCACTCTTACGGTATTGACGAGACACCGGTGTTGCCCTACGCTCCGGGGGATATTGAATCCGTTGTGGGGAACGAGAAGTGCCGAATTTATTGGAACTATTCGTTCCCCACCCTCAGGCTCATACAAGCTAATAAGCCTGATGTAGTCCTTCTCGACCACCAGACCAAGACGATATTTGTCGTGGAGTTTTCAGCTCCTGGCGAGATGAATATCGTCAGAAAAGAAGAGGAAAAACGGATAAAATATCGAGATTTTCTCTTCGAACTCCACAGACTCTATCTAGACCACTCTGTCAAGATGGTTGTTCTGATTAATGGAGTCCTTGGTGGAATGATGTCCTCTCTACTCTCGAATCTTAAAATCATACTGGCCTGCCGCAGTAAGGCAGAACTCTTAGCCGGACAGATGCAGAAGGCTGTCATTCTTGGCTCACTGCGATTGCTCAGGGCACATGACTCTCGGACCCAATGATCAATTACCCCGAGGTGTGGGGAGTGGTCAGGTTAAAAAATAAGTTAAAATGTATTTATGAGGGATGAAAATATTAAAATATTTGAGTTACAGTACAAAATCTTAAAAATATAAAAACAGTATTGGAATACAAAGACAAAGATTTAAAATACAACCGAATTTGAAGGTCTGAAAACAAATTCCAACATTCTTACATGTTTATTGCATCACACAATTGAAAAAGTATCTGAAACTAATTTTAGCACATATACATACAGATATACAATAGTGAAAAAAGCCTTACCCAAAGCTGGAATCTCGAAAACGATCACGAGAACGTTAACAATGTCATCTTGATTATCCATTTCTTTCCTCGTGGGCAGCTCCATTTGAAGGTTTCCAGCCAAAGTAACCAAAGCATTAACAAGAGCGTTTTCAAAAATAGACGATTTCAGTTTGAAAAGCGCAGTGAACGCCCTCCTCACAGCGGGAATATCCACCGGAGTGATATTATTCCTACTGGACTCAGCGCAACAATCCTCATCTTTATCTTTCTCCCCTTCTAGAGACCTGACTTGTTCTTTTTTCAATCCCTTTACGTCTTCTTGAATGAAACAGTTTTAATAACAATTACGATGATTTCCGGTCATCCTACCTGTACTTCCGAAGTCGGAACACGATTCTGTAGGGCTACTTAGGTCTTGAGCAAAACTTTTCGAAAGGTTCTCGATACTACTGAAGATTTCCCCCAGTGTTCGAATCAGCGGGGAGTAGGAGTCATTGGCTTCACATAAATCAATTATATCATAAAGAGATTGTTCTGTTAAAAATGTGGGTACTGGAGCTGCAAAAAACGGCGGAAAATTAACATCAGATCAAGATAGATATATGGATAGCGCGAGTTCTAAGATAAATGAAATACAAATTATTAAGAAAAGTTATTTTGATGTTGAATTTGAATGACACCCCAACTTTTGAACATGATTAATATTTGACCAAGCAGTGAAGTCCTCAAAGGCTAAATTAGAAGATGATAGCTGTTAAATTTAATTCAATAGGGCCATAAAATACTGGCCCTGAATACTTTGAAAGTGATTGAAAGAAACATTGATTGTGTATCGCATGAAATCTTGTTACAAAAACAATATTAGGTTGTTTCAAAAGTTCTATCCGTTTTAATGTCGAATGTTTTTATTGCTTTATGTTTATTCTACTGTGTCGTATATTGTTCTCTGTACACTGAAGCTGACTGACTGACGAGCTACATGTTCATCCCGTATTTATAATTTCAGAGAGTGAGGGAGATGGTGGTGGGGGTGAAGGCGGAGTGTCCATGCGAATGCTCATTCCTGAGTGGTCAGCACTTCTGCTGGGTCGTTCTAATTGGTCCGCACTGTTGCTGGGTCGTTCTGATTGGTCAACACTTCTGCTGGGTCGTTCTGATTAGTCCGCACTATTGCTGATTGGTAAGCACCGTTGCTAGTTTGTTCTGATTGGTCCACGTTGTTGACAGATATGCTGCTAGAGGGATTTTAATCAGAGTTGTATTCTAGCTTAGTGCTGATCTTCTTGAGTACTGGAAACTACGTTCTGTTGGACTGTATACATTCATATTTTCTGTTGTTGTTGAGATGATTATAGATTTCAATGGCCCCACTGTTGAATTAGACAGGACAGCAGTTTGATACTATTTTATTACATGATCTGTTTTATTAACTGAGCCACAGAAATAGGGAATCCTATAAACACGGGTGGGTGTTAGAGGCTTTCTTTTGTCCATGGCCGATCTGATAGTATTGCCTAGTTGATGTAATGTTATGACTTTCGAACAGTTTTACAATACGGTCTGTGACTTCGAATGATATAGTGATAGTGAATAATATGCAATATCATTGAAAAAAGCCCAACAGTACAAGTTGAATATTGGAATTCGAGGTTATAACAATATTTCGACCCTTTTCATCGTTAAGTTTCAGTTTATTGGAAGTAAACCAGATCCTTAGGTGTCTCCATCTGTTGGGGTTAAGTACTATAGGATATATTCGAGTATATATGAGTCGTGTCATCAGCAAGCAAGACACATGCTGTGGGTGCAATGAAACTACATAACCATTTATATAAATAAAAATGGTCCGAGGGCAGTACCTTGAGGAACACCATAAGTATTTGAGATATTCGAATAGAAAAGAAAAAGAACACAAATGAAAAATTTCCAGACTTGAAGTACGAATTCTTTTGGTAGATGAACAAAGTATATAACGAAGTACTTATACACTCACCGCTGCTGTACTTCATATCATTTTTACAGCCAGCCATATTACCCTGTGAAATGACAATATCATTGGCCGGTATACTGGCAGTACTGAAACAAACATCATTTGATCCTCCATTTGTTTTCTCATTCAGTAGAGCTCCTTGTTTTCTAGCTATTTTATTGGGATGTCTTTCAATATTATCTGTTCTTTTCAACCTATTAGCTGTAGGAACAAGGTTTTATTTATTTCTTGTATCATGTTGGTGTATATCCTTGTAAGCAACTTTATTCATCAAGTTTTGTTGAACAAGAAGCAGATTTTCATATAACTGAGTAAAGGGTCATTATTATAATTTTTGCAAGTATTGATCGACACTTTTCATCATAATTGGTAGAGATAAAGAGGTGGTTTTCATCAACGAGAATATTAGTCCATTATGTTTTTAAATGATGAAGTTGTGTTTCACTCAATTCAGGAATTCCATATTGTTGATTATACAGAAAGTTGCAACTTTGCAACAATACTTTCAATGTTCGATAGAAATGGCAATAAGTTGAATACTCACTACTCCGCTGGATGCGCAGTACTGGTTATCACAATGGGGGTTACCACAGCCATCGGTCAGCTGATAGAAGTACCTTTCTATAAGTTTCTTAGCAGCAGCTCGTTTCATAACTCCGTCTTTATCGTCGAAGATTATTTTTTCGTTGTCTAGCAGGTTACTTGACGATGCTTCTAGGTTATTCCTAAAACGTAACATATCTACATGATACTCAAGTCTTGAAAAGGGGAACCAGCAGGATAAACAAAGAAATCAAAATATGATGACATTTAATTTTGACATGCCAGACATAACCTGAAAATGTGTTTGAAAAACCTCTGAAAACTGAAATTTTGCTGAGAATATTTGAATAACTTACCTTGAAGCTTCGTCTGAATTTGGTGTAAAATCTGAAGAGCTCATAGAATTAGTTCACAAAATAATTAAAAGTAAAGAATAAAGGTATCTTTAGGATCATTTACAATCTTTCATTTGGGTAGTTGTATGTGCATCTATAAAAAAATTTCCAGCTTGTTTTCCTCGACAAGTGTTAAATTGATTCACTCAATATTGTTCGACTGAGAAAACCTTTCTTGGGTTTTCTTAGGTTTTTATGGCTGATACGAAGTAAATATAACTTTTGAGTGACTTTTGCTTGACTTGACTGTCATTTCGACATTTTTTTCATCTAAAAAGTTGGTAGTATTCAGATATGTTTTGAATGTGAATTCAGAACTGTTCTCGGACAATCGTGAATAAACGTTAAATAAGTACAAATTGTTTAGATACAGTCAGTTCCTTGCGTACATTTCTCATAAATATAAAATTAAAAATACACTCAGACTAGTTGCACATTAATAACCATTTATTAACATTTTTTCATTATTACTTAACACAGAACTCGAATTTCTGAAAATCTATGTAAATGTCAAACGTCCCCAAAATCTTATGGAACTGAAAATTTTGCACAATACGTCAACGTGAAAAAGGAATAAAAATTGATCACAGTTTCAGATTTAATACTACCCATTATTTACTTTCAGAAACAAATTCCTAATAGCTCTCTCAATCTAATTACACCAAAATCAATCTTGCAAATGTGAATTAATATTTATGGCTACATAGTTCAGCTTCCACTTCAGAGATGGCGAAACTTGGAACAATAATTTTCCAGTTTCAGCTTTGTATATAGACTAACCATATACGTTTCAGCTTCTCTTTTCCAAACATTTTCGGACATTTCGTATTCACGTATTGAAGGACTATGAGAAAATTTATTTGTTATTAGGTTCAAAAATACGAGTTTTCCAAAATGAAGTCTTGTCATTCCGGAAGTGAGAATGAAATACTTCAAAACGTATTTAGATGAAAATTTGCTTTAGTTGACCACAGTTTCTATTCAACGTCACATAGCTTTTATACGAAAAAAAAATATAGGCTGTAGTTCTGCCATCTCTAGTATGGAAGCTAAACTAGTCTATCATTTCGTGTTCTTTCGTTCAGCGCATAAAGAAAACAACTGTTTTTTTTAGTTCAGATTCTATCCCAGAGATGACGAAACTGTATACAAAATTTAAAGGATATTAAAGTCGAAATAATTCAAAAACGAATGTGAGTAAGAGAAAGTAACTTGCAGTTTAGCATCCTCGTCTGAAGATGGTTCGAACGATTCCATTGTTGACTCCAAGACCACGAAGTTTCAAAACGAAAAGCCTTTGTTTTTAAGGCATACTTCAGAAAACAAAATTTTCATAAAAAATTAGTTGACTTGAAAAATTCCCTTTTCACCATATAATATACAAGCTTTTCATCGCCGCAAGACTCAAGTGTTCTTGAAAGTTTAGGCGCCTATACAGGATAATTCTCAGATACCGGGCGCTCATGCGTTTGATTCGCCACTTCTGGAATATCGTTACGTTGTTAATTTCTTCGAAAAGTTGATGAGCACAGTTTTCGATGTTCAACGGCGATCCAGATTTGCTTAAAGCGATCATAACTGGAGACGCATCATGGGCATGTGGTTATGACATCGAAACCAAAGTCCAATCATCTCAATGGAAAGTCCAGAAGAGCCAAGTTCGATCAAATGTCAAGGTTTCGCTCACTGTTTTCTTCGATAACTGTGGCGTAGTGCATCAGGAGTTTTTGCCACATGGCCGTACAGTCAATAAGGAGTATTATCTTGAAGTTATGCGCTGCTTGCGAGAAGCAATATAAGAAAAACGTCCGGTATTTGCATCACGATAATGCATCTGCTCACTTGTAGTTTTTTGGTCAAAAACAACACAGTAATCATGCCTCAGCCACCATATTCACCAGATTTAGCCCCCTGCGACTTTCTCCTGTTCCCAAGATTGAAGAGACCCATGAAAGAACGGCGTTTTACAACGATGGTGAACATAAAAACCGATTCGCCGAAAGAGCTCAAGGACATACCAAAAAGTACATATCAGAACTGCTTAGAGGTTTGGAAAAACGCTGGCACAAGTGTGTTATATCTGAAGGGGATTACTTTGAAAGGGACGAAATAGAAATTGGTTGGTTCAAGGGATGAAAAACAAAGGACCCCATGATTTTAAAATTTTTATTTTGTCAAATGAATGTTGAACAAGAACAATGTTATGGTATGCAAGTGCAATCAAGACAACCGTAAGTTCTGCCCATCGCAAATGATCTCCTGCAAAGACAGAAGCAATCTGCACAAAAAAATGTTTCACAAAACATATACACACGACTGCATGAAAACATACATATATAATAAATAATTAAGGAATCATTACGCAAAATGATTAATAAACACATCGATACATCTTCAAGTTGTGTTACAGGGTGATGAAATATACACTCTTTCCGTACTCGTCTAGAAAAACTAGAGAAATCTATGAATTCAAGTGCATTTTTGGCTCACTCTGTTCAACTAACCCTAGCAATTAATAATTAATGGTTCACAGTTGATAAAAAATCAGGGCTTAGCAGCTACTAACCTCAATAGTATAACTAAAGCAACGAGTTGTACCCACAAGAAGAAGTCCGTTAAATCGATGGATTGTAAAAATAATAAAAATAAAATTATATCAAGACCATGAATCTCTCAGGGCATGATACTCAATCAATTTGTCCTCAATGTTTTTCATTCCAAATCATTCTCTTCTCTTGATACACAATAAATTTAAAAACACTCACTGTCGATTAATTATTTCATTGACCACATTTCAAGTTTCTCAACTTGGACATATTTAACCTGTAAGAATTTCATTCATCTTGCACTCCTCTAGTCTCCGGGAAAAATTGATTGAATACCACCCAACTGCAACAGACCTTCGAGAACTGTTTCATACACCTTATTCACACATAAACTTTCTTATCGAATAGACGTCGATATGACTCTGTACACCTAGATATAAAGCAATACAGTGTCAATCACGAGAATCGAGGCGATTGAATTTGATCGCAGATCCGGTTAACTGGAAAACTCGAACGATATAGACTGTTTAGATTCTTTGAGCAATATCAAGTTTCCAGAGGTTAATGAATATCTATTTTGGACCTATTACACCAAAGCCACCATCAGAGGAACTATTGGTTGGAAAGTACAAGGCTCTGAAGGGTCTCAAAATATTTTAATTCCATGATTGACAGTTCAAACTGTTGAATACGGCTAAAGGACAGTTTAAACAGTCGAATAATGCTAAACGACAGTTTAAACTGTCCAATGAGACTAAACGACAGTTCAAACTGTCGAATAAGGCTGAAAGACAGTTTCAACTGTCGAACAAAACTAAACGACAGTTTGAACTGTCAATTATGGCTGATCGACAATTTGAACTGTTGATTTCCTATAATCAACAGGTTGAATTGTCAGCTGCAAGTAATCAACGGTGTTCAAATTGTCTAATATGGCTAAACGACAGTTTAAACTGTCGAATGAGGTATAAAAAATAGTTTAAACTGTCGAATAAGGCTGAATAACAGTTTAAACTGTCGAATATGGCTAATCGACAGTATAAACTGTTCAATGAGACTAAACGACAGTTCAAACTGTCAAATAAGGCTAAAAGACAGTTTCAACTGTCGAACAAAACTAAACAACAGTTTGAACTGTCAATTATGACTGATCGACAATTTGAACTGTTGGTTTCCTAAAAATACAATTACTTTATGAACAATGCACAATTGATGGAAGATTCTGAATCATTTTCAAAGTACGAATAACAAGCGAAAGAAGCTATTTTTTGGACCAAATACATTTACCTCATGTACAATGCACAATTGGTAAAAGGTAGAAAGAACAAGGGAAAGAAGCTATTTTTGACTAAATACATTTACTTTACGTACAATGCACAATTGGTGAAGGATTCTGAATCATTTTTTAAGCAAAAATAATATGGAAAGGAAGCTATTTTTTGAACTAAATTCAATGCACAATTGGTAAAACGTTCTGCACAAATTTTAAAGTACAAAAAACAAGGAAAAGAAGCTATTTTTTTATCTAAATACAATGCACAATTGGTAAAACGTTCTGCACAAATTTTAAAGTACAATAAACAAGGAAAAGAAGCTATTTTTTTATCTAAATACAATTACGTTCTGCACAAATTTTAAAGTACAATAAACAAGGAAAAGAAGCTATTTTTTTATCAAATACAATTACTTTATGAACAATGCACAATTGATGGAAGATTCTGAATCATTTTCAAAGTACGAATAACAAGCGAAAGAAGCTATTTTTTGGACTAAATACATTTACCTCATGTAAAATGCACAATTGGTAAAAGGTAGAAAGAACAAGGGAAAGAAGCTATTTTTGACTGAATACATTTACTTTACGTACAATTCATAATTGTTGAAGGATTCTGAATCATTTTTAAAGTAAAAATAATGAGGGAAGGCAGCTATTTTTTTATCTAAATACAATGCACAATTGGTAAAACGTCCTGCACAATTTTCAAAGTACAAAAAACATGTACAATGCACAATTAGTAAAAGGCTATGAAGCATTTTCAAAGTACAAAAAAACAAGGATAAAGAAGCTATTTTTTGGACAGACATTTACTTTATGCAGTGTACTATAGTACATAAAGAGACACATGTTCAACTATATAATTTTTGGTAGGTGATTCATAGATAAAATCACGTTTATTATTTATTTTTCAAACCAAAACGTTCGAAATTTGCTAAAAACAGTATTGGCAAAAAACGAATACTATCTGTCACATAAAAACTTTTTGTATAAGGAAGAAAAATTGGACTTGAAAATCGATATCAATTAAAACTCCTTCGAATGAAAAACCTCCTTGAGAAATTGAAAAAACTACAAAATACATAATTTTTCACAAACGAAAATTGAAAATTGATTGATATTAAGTAAATATGTATGTATCTGGTTTGCAAATGCTAAACATACCCGAGCAGAAATCAAAATATGCTTGTACTCTCTAAAATTACATCAAGGTGCGAATATTTCCTAAATTCATATACAAAAATAACTATTTTAAGTACTCATTTGAATGTTCATGCTTCCTCGATAAACTCTATTAAAAAAATAGGGCCGCAGTCATACCTTTGGTTATATATATATTCAAAAATATTTTGTAACAATGGAATGTGTTGTTGGAAGACATACTCAGGGTGTGGAGTACTCGTTCATACAATGTGAGATGCCGTAACCGTGCCACAGATTGGCATCGAGCCTGTCACCGAAATCGAACAGTTCGTACGAAATTACTTGTTAATAATTTTGGCAGAGCCTCATGTTTTTGTACATAACGACTTAAAAGCGACGACCGGATGGTTTACCGTCTCTCAATTGAGCTGTTTGATTTGCTTCAATATCTGCGGATGGGTTCTGGCTACGATGGCTTGTAATCTCTCCAGCTGGTTCAAGAGGTTCGTATTGGAGTCTTCCAGGCTCTCGATTTTCTCTCGGTAGTTGGAGTTCTCGTTTACCAGATGCTCTACTTTTCTCTCGAGCTGGTCCATGTATTCTTTCTTTTTTCTTCGGCTTTCTTGAGCAGAGATCTGTATGATGAAAAAAAAAAACAGTATTTTTGACCATTTAATAAATTTTGTTGTAAGTTACATTCGTTTAATAATCACCCGTCAACTTTTTTTCCCTAAAGCGATCTGAAAAAAAAATTAATGCCATTTTTAAAAATACCCCTAGACTTTTCCGATGTGTGTGTTAATGTTCACAAGAAAAAAATCTTAATTTATACCAGGTGTGCAAACTAATGTATTATATTTTTCGTTGTGAGAGCCACGCATTGAACGAGAAAAAATCCGTAGATCAGATTTGCTTAGGAAGAAATCAGAGTATCACTTTACTCCTCAAACAATGAAATGCAACTGGCGCAAAATTTTTGCAAATAAAATGATTAACATAATTGCTGCAAAGAGTTGAAATAATTAACCTTCCTTTGAATTTTTGAGAATCAGATGAATCATGGAATCACAGAACGTGTATGACAAACTTGTCCAGCGCCATCTATTAATGATAATAGTAATAATAATAATATTACTTTGGTTGAAAAGTACAGTTGACACAAATCAATGCACAATAAACAAAGAAAATGTCAATTATAAAAGTAAAAGTAATTGTAAAAACATATAAATGTAAACAACTACATGTAACCATATTATAAAAGTCAGTCCAAATAGTATGTAACCATATTATAAGTCAGTCAAAATAATATAANGAATGTTTGAAAGCCTGTGACTGTGGTCCTTTTTTTCAACAACCAATATTTTCCTTATGTCTGATGTTCGATTTACAGTACAGTACCTAGATGTAGTGCACTCTGTGTTCCTCTCGAATATTTAGGACTGACAACACGATGGCGTTACTTTACTAGTGTCGCCATCTGTTGCCTAGACAGACTACCTATCAACTCAAGGATTCACCAACTTATCAGCGCGCTTTTTTTACTGTAACAACCGTTACTCACCGGCTGGTTGCTGATCAGCGGCGTGTTGATCGGCTGCCTGGACGACACCTGACTCAACATCAGCCTGGCTGTTTTCCTTGCTGCGGGGGAACTTGGCTGCGAAATAGTAGCATTATCCTCGCTGTCCTCGCTGCTGCTACAAGACGGAGGCGTGGGTGGTAAGTTGTGGAAGTGTGCAGCAGTCACTGGTTCTATTTTGATGGTCGCCCTCGTTGCGCCAGGTAGGTGTATCCTCTGCGGGATGATAGTGTGAGGCGACGTTAGCATTACGTTCGTGGTGGTGTTGATAAGGGCTGTGCGGTGATCCGGAACCTGTTGGGGAAAAACAGAATCAGGTGGAGTTGGCAAAGCTATTGTTTCAATGGGTAAGTTATGGCTCTACTCGCTTACAAAAGAATCGTAGGTCCACTTATCATGATTCTAGGCGAAACTAGAAGATGTGCTGAATGCTGTGAAATATTTTGTCGGAGTCCCATTTTTACCTAGTCAAGTAATCACTTAATTCATTTCCATAGATTTGTTGGATAATAGTTGATTTTTCAAAAAAAATCAAAGGGTTTTGTTAGCTCAACCGTTAAACTGGCAGAACCAAATTTGAGTCAGACAAATTCTTCTCAATTCCAAAGACAAAAGAACCTGATGGAACCTGATGGCAACAGAACTTGATGGAAATTGATGGCAACATGACCTGACGGAATCTGTTAGCAACAGGACCTAACGAAATCCTGTAGCGATAGGACCTGACGAAACCTGATGAAACTTTATGGAACCTGATGGCAACAGGACATGAACCTAGTGAAACTTTATAGCACTGATGGCAACAGAACCTGATGGAATTTGATAGCAACAGGACCTAACGGAATATGATAAATAGCAACAGGATCTGACGAAATCTGATAGTAAAAGACCTGACGGAATCTTGTAGCCACAGGACCTGACGGAATCTTGTAGCTACAGGATCTGAAGGAATCTTGTAGCCACAGGACCTGACGGAACGTGGTGAAACTTTATGGAACCTGATGGCAACAGGACCTGATGGAATTTGATAGCAAAAGACCTGACGGAATCTTGTAGCCACAGAACCTGAAGGAATCTTGTAGCCACAGGACCTGACGAAAATCTAATAGCAATACGACCTGACGGAATCTTGTAGTCACAGGACCTGACAGAACCTGATAATACTTTATGGAACCTGATGGCAAAAGGACCTGACGCAATCTTGTAGAAACAGGACCTGACGGAATCTGGTAGTAAAAGGACCTGAAGGAATATGATAGATAGCAACAGGACCTGACAAAATCTAATAGCAATACGACCTGACGGAATCTTGTAGTCACAGGACCTGACGGAACGCGATTAAACTTTTTGGAACCCGATGACAACAGGACCTGATGGAATTTGATAGCAACATGACCTGACGGAATATGATAAATAGCAACAGGACCTGACGAAATCTGATAGTAAAAGACCTGACGGAATCTTGTAGCCACAGGACTTGACGGAATCTTGTAGCTACAGGATCTGACGGAATCTTGTAGCCACAGGACCTGACGGAACGTGGTGAATCTTTATGGAACCTGATGGCAACAGGACCTGACAGAACCTGATGAAACTTTATGGAACAAAACCTGATGGAATTTGATAGTAACAGGACCTGACGGAATATGATAAATAGCAACAGGACCTGACGAAATCTAATAGCAAAGGACCTGATGGAATTTTGTAGCCACAAGACCTGATGGAATCTTGTAGCCACAGGACCTGGCGGAACGTGATGAAACTTTATGGAACCTGATGGCAACAGGACCTGACGGAACCTGATGGCAACAGGACCTGACGGAACCTGATGAAACTTTATGAAACCTAGTGAACCTTTATAGAACTTGATGGCAACAGGACCTGACGGAATTTGATAGTAACAGGACCTGACGGAATATGACCCGACAGAATGAGATAGAAATAGAACCTGACGGAATCTTGTAGTAACAGGACCTGACAGAACCTGATGAAACTTTATGGAACCTAATGGCAACAGGAACTGGTACAATCTGATGGCTACAGGACCTGTCGCAACCTGATGGCAACAGGACCTGAAGAAAAACAACTCACCATTTCGACATCTAACGGCATATCGCTGGCATTGACGTATATAGAGTGTGGTGACGATGGGCAGGAAGAGTGGTTACTGTCTGTTTCGCTGGAAGGTTCATCTTTTATCGACACGTGATCTTGTTCCATGTCATGCACTTGGCTACACCGCGCTGATGAGGCCAATAGCCAGAAACACGTGTCCGCGGTTTGCCAATAATTTTTCTTGAATGCTGTTCCGACTAATCCTTTCCTTTTTGAATTAAATCATAGACACTCGATAACACCTCCTTCAATATAGAAGGAGCCTAGAAGATGACAGTACTACCAACTGTCGAAAGCGCTCGCAGATAATTAATAGAAGATATTAAGCTTCAAATCCATATATATGCATTAATATGGAATTGTCCAATCTCCATAAAGTATTTTTCAACTAAAATTACTTTTTCAATCCTTTTCTTTCAGTCTTCTTCGGTGATATTAGATACTTTTTCTTCAACTAGCTCTATCACCTTATCAAATTTTGGAAAATTATTTTTACGCCTGATGCTTTGTTTCAATTTTCCCCAAATCAACTTGATGGGATCGAAAACACAAAAATAGGGGGGAAGCCTCAGTATGGTGTGTCTATACTTTTCAGCAATACTCTCAAGGGCATACACCTTTTCAAATGTTTTTGTCTGTAAAACTTCAAGTAGTTGGTTTTTGGTATCCATTAAAAAAAACTTTGTCTTTCGTCTTTCCAAGAATTTTTATTCGGTACTTTGATGAGCTGTCGCGAATGACAGGAAGCCTTGTCAAGAACTATTACACTATTCGCATCCAAATTTGGGGTCAATGTGTTTTCAAACCATTCCTCAAAAATATTAGCTTCCATGTTTTTGTGACAGTTAACATTGCAGTCCTCAAGTTTTCTTCCACAAAATTTCAAAGAATTTGGAACCCGTCCTTCACTTCCTTCGCAATGCACAATGATTAGTCGCGATCCTGTGTTTGCAGGCATGTTAGGCGTACACATTCTCGAACCATCAGTCCCCCCTTTCATAACTGTGACGTGAGTGTCACACTAAGTTTCGTCCAAATAGAAAATTTGCCGTTGTTCTTGTCTATATTTAGTTATTTGTTCTAAGTATTTGTTATGCAATTCCACAATTCTTCTGCTTTCTAAATCCTAGTTTCTTTATCCAATTCTGAAGAGTTTTGTCACAGCAGCTCACGTTATGGCAGGAAGTATTCAATTTCTTCCTTATGATTTCAGTTGTAGGAATCTCATTGCTTTTGTAACAGTAGTATATTGTTTTTTTTCAATTATTTTATTAGATGAACATCCAAAGGTTGTGGTAATCCCGTATCACATCGAGTCTTGCGTTCATAAGGTATGTTTTTGACTATTTTACGTACAGTCGAGAAAGAAATTTCGGTCAAATCTGATGTTGCTTGTTATAGTTTGTTTCCCTCGAAACCAAACTTGTGATGTAGATTCTTCTATACATTAAAACATACTCTCTATGTTTCAATATTCAAATGCATCCGAATATTATTCACTGGTACCTCTTTTTCTCATTGTTCACCATCGCTATTGGAATCACTACACAGGAAAAAGTCTGCGTTGTTATCACACTCGTTATTACTATTAGTACTTGTCCAAGGACGTCACATTTCAAACATATAACAAACATTTTAAGTAATCATAACTGCACCAATATCGAATTTTAACACTTAAATTAGCAGCGGCATTATTTCTCTGTATTGGTTTTCTTGGCCTTTGAGATGCCGAGAGCTTTAACTATTCACAATACAGGTTACTTCGACTATACACTCTGTGGCCCAAACTATCATCTTCACGTCTGTTCCCAAGAACATCCAAGAAGTCTACAGTTCCTTTGGGTTTCTAGTTCCATTGTGAATATGATTTTTGATAATGTAGGTCTACCATAGTAGTAGACGAAACGTCAGGTACAAAAATCTGCAGACCACTGCCAAAAAACCCGGAAAATAGCTTTCACACACGGCCGTGAAAGTTTACATTCTTAGACGTTACTTATTTTTCCACTATGCGAGTCTTTAACTAATATTCTGTGTTACCCGGTAAATCAGCACGTCACTTTTTTGTTGAATTCTTAATAATTTCGAAAGTCGCACGTTATCTCAATTACGTAACTTATCTGGGTTATTTGTAATGTTATTTTTTTTCCATTGCTTTCTGGAAAAGCTAAGCTACCTACCAGCGATAACGCCTGTACGATACCGTTTTATCTATGAATTACATACATATTTTTAGATAATACATATTTTTTTTCGTAGTCGATATCAAGAAATGGCTCGTCAATTGGAATAATCGCAGCCGTGTTACTTACATTGCTGTGACGTAGATAATAATTTCCACTTCGTTTTGGTGGATACCCTTATAATACGACGTCGGTGGTGTCAATTTCAATTAGTTGAAATTGTTTTTCATAAGGCTACTAAAACACATATTGTGGCGATAGGNATGGTGCATAACAAGGAAAGCAGCCCATTTCCTTTTCATTATTAAATTATCAGACATAGGCACTCTCTGATTTCAATATCAACAGAACACCAAAGCAAAACAATGACAATAACACTTGATGAAATTACTGCGTTCTGGAAACATACGTCCACAATTGCACGATTTTGTGACGCAAATTCCTTTGATCTCCAAAAAAAACCGACAAGCCACGGATGGCGTGCGTTGAATGCGGCGAAAAATTTTGCGTACCTTTGTGTGCGGCGAACACGTGCGAAAACGTCCACACTCGCATAAATTTGTATGTTGCATAAAAATTTGTGCCGAATGCCCCGCACAACGTAAATTTTTACTAATGTGGACCCGGCTTTAGATTAGATTTGTTTACGTTCGATCATGACCACTTAGGTGAAATATTGAAATTGACTCTAAAAAAACTAAGTACAGGTGTACAAAATTTAAAAAATGTCACCTTCTGATCTATAACTGACTCAGATATCTAAAAATGTAAAAATATACGAGGTGTTTTATTTAAAAACTCAATATTGGTGAAACTGCAAGTGATCGGGCTTTATTGAATACTATTCACCTATACCAAATCTGTATCTAATACTCTAAAAGTTACGATCAAGCCCCTGTAAACATTTTTTTCATTATACTCACCATCAACTTTATGATGTGGCGAACTGGATAAACTATCTCCATCAGACGTTAAACTGTAAGAATGCTCTGTTTTGATTGGTCTGGTTCCCAAAACGGCATCCGTCATGAGCCTGTCGTGGAGAATAACACCCGGTATATCCTTACTGGAAATGTAGCTCCATTCTATCGTCATATCCCCAGACTGCATTTTCAAAACGTCGTGCATGGACTGAAAAAAAATGAAATAAAAAAATATCGTATGGAGGAATGGAGGTATTAAAAACAAACTTATTGAAATCAAAAAACAGATTTTTCGTTTCATAATTCTTTGGAAATGTTTCTTATGCTGTTTTGATAAGTCAAAGATCCTCCGGAAGACAAATAGATAGGTAAATAGATAGATAGATATATAGATAGATTTATTTAACTACGTTACATAATGTTTGTAGCAGTCTAATTACAACAGTAGGTTGTAAACATCTACACATAGTCATTGGTAAAAAACAAACACTCAGATATCAAAGAAACAAAATGAAAAACAATAATATACATAGCACAAACAAACCATTTCACAAAAGCTCTTCATTAGTTTGGACTTTCATTGGCTAATATGATATAAATTGATTTGAAATCCTTGAAAAAATCAATAAAAAATCAAAAAGATTAACTGAAAAATAAGATTCTATCTTCGACACCGAGATCAACAACTAACATTCCCTACTTATATATTAGTATCATATACAACTATGATAGTTGTAAAAACTATTTTGTAAATATTCTTCTACACTGTAAAAACATCTAGATTTGAAATACTGTTTTATTCTGATTTCGGAATGATTAAAATATTTGATAAGTCAAANAACTCATTGAGATTGGATTTTCACCTAGTTATCTCTAATATGGCCGTTCAGAGGATAAACCCAATTCATGAAAATGAAATTTGTTCAATTACTGACTGGCGTGGCCTATTTACGCTATGATGGAATGATCTAAATCTTTTTTCGAGTAGGGGAGTCAGCTCGTGGCAAATGCCAACTAAGAATAACCATGGCCAAGCCCATTTTCTGGAAGTACAGTCAGTTCAACAAAAATATATAGTGCATCTCCCGATTAATTTATATCTGCTTCATCGATTACTTGAAACGAACGGTTCCGTTCTGGCAATAAATTTAATTTCAATTTTCAATTTGCTAACTTGTTTTGTTACTAGTTATCGTATAGTCTGGGTCAATTTGCTAACTTGTTTTGTTACCAATTAGCGTATACTCTGGGTTACAATATCCTTTTTTGGAACTTCAGTCCAAGGGCACAGAAAATTATGATCCAGGGATCATTCGATTCGGGATGACCTCTAGCAACTTTTTGAAAAATTTCAAGAGGCGTTCTAAAAAACTGCAAAAGTTATAAACAATTAAATGAAAAAAAAATGGGGTTTGGTTTTTTGTAAATCTCTCACCTTACAAAACTTCTCTGTTTCGAAGAAGCTCTAACCACAATGTCTTCAAGCTTTATAATGAGATCGACCCATCACTTCGTATTATGAAATTATATTCATTTCGAAACAAAAAGAGAGAGAGTCTCTTGGCCAAGAATAAAAACTCAACATTTATTTATGCTTTAACATTTTCAAAATAAAAAAATATTTGCACTCGAACAATTATGATTGTATAGTCAAAGTAAACGATATTGTGCACACTTAAAGTTGGCGGCCAAAAAAAACAATACATAGAAATGAACCGGCATCGTACTAGTCCACGTGGATTGTAGACTTGGTGGTTCGTATTCGATAATCTCAAGTTTGGTTTCGAGGGAAAACTATAACAAGCAACATCAGTTTTGACCGAAATTCCTTTCTCGACTGTACGTAAAATAGTCAAAAACCAACCTTATGAACGCAAGATGCGATGTGATATAGGGTTACCAAAACCTTTAGATGTTCATCTAATAAAATTATTGAAAAAAACAATATACAACTTTTACAAAAGCAATGAGATTCCCACAACTGAAATCATAAGGAAGAAATTGAATACTTGCAGTCATAACGTGAGCTGCTGTGACAAAACTCTTCAGAATTGGATGAAGAAACTAGGATTTAGATTTAAAATAATAAACAAACGTCTAGCAGTTACGGAAAGCAGAAGAATAGTGGAATTGCGTAACAAATACAACAAGTACAACGGCAAATTTTCTATTCGGACGAAACTTTGTATGACACTCACGACACAGTTACGAAAGGGTGGACTGATGGTTCGAGAATGTGTACGCCTAACATTTCTGCAAAAAAAATTGATCTCAATTATTGTCTGCTGCAAGAGCCACATTCTAGAACGTTCCACAATGAATACATTGATCAACTTGTATGAAACGAAACTTTCCAAACCAACGCCGTGTGAAAATGAGATCCCGACGAATTTCATTCAATTAATAAAAAGAAACAGCCGTATCCTGCATAATACAACCATATTTCCAGTTCCAATCTCGAAAAGACATGTTATGCGGCAATTAAGAAACGCTGCTGGTTCTGCGATTAGTCGGTACCAGTGACGGGCAAGAGAAAAGAAACGGAAGTCGAGTTGAACGACCGAAGAGGAACAGCAGGTACTTCGATCACCGAGTATGTTTTTCGACAGGGAATTAGCGATGGAGGTCTAATTATCGAACTGGACGGTCCTAATGCGAGTTACAGAATTACAGATGAACGAACGACAATGAACCACTCAGGATGCTCATCGGAGAAACTGAATATTAGGTTAGGTACTTTGACTTCGTGATTATAACATCAATAGGTTTCACCTAATTAATACATTAATGGAATAACTGAAGTGTGGGAATGGGGAATGTTCCTCAATTTGGGTTATTATAGCAAATGCAAGTTTCAATAAAATAAAGTTGAGTTTAATTCATGAGTTTTTAAAATTCACTTCGAAAAGTATTCAAATTGATGTTTCAAACGTTGGGTTTTAATTTTTAAAGGGATTTGTTTCTAATTTACATATTGGCAACAGTGTCTATATTAAGTTGAAATAATTTATACGTACCTA